GGCGGGAGCGGGCGGCGGCGAGGGCCCCAGCGCGGTGCGGGAAGGGCGCGGGTGCGTGCAGTGGGGCGATGGGCACCGGGATCTGCTGTCCCCGGCGCGGCTGAAGGTGTCCCCCACCCTAGCCAGCTCCTCCGCGGCTTCCCTCCCTCTACCCCACCAGAGCTTGGAAAAGTTTGCAGGGGCCAGAGTTAGAAAGGACCCACTAGTCTTGAGTGGACGTTCTTTCGCAAATGCAAAAAAATAACGGACCGTGGTGCTGGGCACTTAACCTGCCTGAAATGAGACATTGCCCTGCTCGTGTGCCCCGTTGTAAAAACCAAACTAAAACTTTTTGCATAGTTGCCACGGAAAAACTACCATCTCCTTAGCCCACCATGGCGGACGAGATTGATTTCACTACTGGTGATGCTGGGGCTTCCAGCACTTACCCTATGCAGTGCTCGGCCCTGCGCAAAAACGGCTTCGTGGTGCTCAAAGGACGACCATGCAAAATAGTGGAGATGTCAACTTCCAAAACTGGAAAGCACGGTCATGCCAAAGTGAGTGTCCTTCCAAGTCGTTCTTTGGCTTCGTCGTTGAGATTTTGATCATTTATATTACATTATAGATCATGAGAGTTCTATAAGTTTTTAATAAGAACATTTAACATTTTTTTCCTCTTTCAGTTACTGAGTGATCAGCTATTTGAATGCTTAAAAATAATGTTCCTTTCTTGGACCTTTATAATGTTTCGTTAACTGGGCATTGAAACTTTCTTGAATCCTAGTGACCTAAAAGATCTATTCAGTCACAGATGAGAAAACCTGTTTTAACAGTTCTAAGAAAGTTCTTTTTCTTATGTACTGTTTAATTAAATTACTGCATTATGTATTGCAATAAATCTTGACATGATTCTGTTTAGTGTTTACTGCCTCTCAATTTTATGACCACTACATTTTTTTAAGAAAGTAAAATTAGATGACCTTGGGAAAAGGAGAATCTGTCTTAATCAGCATTGGTATTGTGCCCTGTGTATGTAATGAGTGATATACTTGGCAGAGGTTAAACAGGTTTCCTGTTTTCATCTTTTAGGTACACCTTGTTGGAATTGATATTTTCACAGGGAAAAAATATGAAGATATTTGCCCTTCTACTCACAACATGGATGTTCCAAATATTAAAAGAAATGATTATCAAGTAAGTACTAATTTTCTTTGAAATGCTGCTTGTTTCTTAAAGATACAAATACTTTCTACTAGCAGTAGTAACAAAACCGAAGAGTATTTTGTAGGTTTTTCTAACCAGTTACCATCCTAGGCACCACCTGTCTTACAAATTGAAGAAACACAGTAATTTTTTAGCATTCTTGCATTTTAAAAATTTGAACATTTTTCAGCATTCCACAGACCAGCTGACTGCATGTTGTGATTAAGTCCAGTTTCTAATAAAATTACATTTCTTAACACTGTAAAATATTTCAAACTTCTTTCTTGATGTTTTATTTCTTTTTACTAGTCAGACCTAAGGCTTTTGAGAAAATTATTGGGATTCGTGTTTTAACCAACCAAGTTTTTGTATTAATGAAGGTGAGTCAGAATTTGGTAGTTTTAAGTAGGAAAATAAGTTGAAAACCATAAATATAAAGAATAAGCTAACCATAGTGCTGACGCCTGTGATCTCAGCTGCTCAGGAGGCTGAGGCAGGAGCATCACAGGTTCAAGACCAGCGTGGGCAACTTAGCAGGACTGTGTTTCAAAATAAGAAAAAAAATTTAAAGGGCTAGAGATGTAGTTTAGCGGTAGATCACTTGCATAGCATATACAAGGTCCTTGGGTGGAGTCCCAGTGCCACAAAAAAATAAAATAAAAACATAACACCTAATACACAGTTATTGAATATGGTAAACAAAGTACAAAAACTGTATTTTTTTTATTTTTATTCAGTGACCGTGCTATCACTTTTTGTTAAATTATATGTATAAAGTTCAAGTTTTAGATACAGTTATACTTTCAGATATATAAGGTCAACTGTTTAGGTATGGTTGTTGATAACAACCTAAACAGTTGACCTTATAGGATGTGAAAGCTCACATAACTAAAGCAGTTCTTGAAAATTGTTAATATCTGTATCAAGCATACCATATACTGAACTCTTCTGTTCAGTTTATGTAGTGAAAAATGTTAGATTTTTTTCTATTCAACTTAAACTGGTTTCTTTCCATACCTTTTATTGTATTAAGTAAAAATTTATAGAATGTTGTTATCAACTGGATTTACCCAAGGATTGCCTTTCATTCTGCCCATATGCATACATTTTTTTATGTAATTTTAATCTAGCAAACATTATGTAATTTTACTTCCCTACTTAATAATGTTTTTTAGATTGCTTTGGAGTTCTTGTAAAATTTAAGTTGTCAGTATAACCTCAAGTAGATTTTTTGAATCAAGTAGATCTAGTTCTGTCACTTACTAATTCAGTGATTTTGGATAAGTTATGAAATTTCTTTAAGCCTTTGTCTTCCAGTCTATAAAACAAGAACAATGTGAGCAATAACTGAGAAATTGTATCCCATGAGAACATATGTACCAAACAGTAGTACTGTTCTGCTTTCCTATCCTGTATTTAAATCCACTTAATCATGTAATTATTGTTGGATCACTGAATTTAGATGTGGAAAATAGTAATTGCTCAATAAATGCTTAATGCATGCATAATTATTCATTATGGCAATGTGGTAAAATAGTGCAATAGACTAAGCATAGAATTTTCTTTTTCCAAAATGGGTTTTTCTCACCCTAAAACAAGAATACTTTGAATATTCAATATTTATTATAGGCAATAATATTCGTGCACTATAGGATGTGCATATTTCAACTGTTACATGTTTTAGAAAGGTAGTAGCAATAGTTCACGTAATTACTACTATGATAAAATTAGTCAATCATTCATTGGAGCTAAAAATTTAACATAAAGCAAGAATTTGTTGAGACTTTAGTTTTGTGTATACAGGTCCAGGCTGGGATTTAACAAATGCAGCGAATGAGGCCTTTGCCTCAGGTGCAAAAGTTTAAACAAAGACAAGTATAGTTCCACTGCCAAGGCTTATAGTAATAACCTCTACACAAAAGAAAACATTTGTAATTCTTAGCCACTCTTCATTTAATTTTTTTTTTTTGTACCAGGAATTGAACTCACAACCTCACGCTTGCCAGGCAGGTGCTGTGCTGCTGAGCTATATCCCCAGCCCCTTCATTTAAATTTTGATATTTTCTTATCATGCAATTTTTACATTCTTATTTTTTAAAATACATTAAAATGTTTGATCACTGCTGTTTTTCTTTTTTTCTTTTTTTTTTTTCTGGTGCCTTCTTAATTTTACACCCAAGACAAGTGTCTCACTTTTTCCCCTACTGTCAGCCCTTATGTGGTCCATACAGCATGGTGGATTAAAGGATAATTTTTTAAGCCAGACTGTTTGAATCCAGATCCTTATTAAAGCACTGAATAGATGTATGACCTTGGTTGGCAAATTATTTAACCTCTGTTGCCTCGACTTATTAATAAAATAAGGATGCAGATAATAAACTCTGATGGGATCATTTTGAGTCTCAGTACTTATAACAGTGCCCAGAATAGTAAATGTCCACATCTTCCTCATTATCAAGTCAACATATGCTACTTACTTCTATTCATTTTTTTAAAAATAGTTCCGTGAGGGGCTGGGAATTTAGCTCAGCGGCAAAAGCGCCTGTCTGGCAAGCGCAAGGTC